TTTTTTCAGATGTTAGCATGCCAACAGTTGCATTTTTCTTAGAACAGCAATGTGTAAGTATAGCCTCACAAAGCAGCTTGTATGGCAGTAAAGTAGTTTACGTTCTTTCATTCACGTTGGCTTACCTCAAGACTGTTGTTTATGCAACCCTGACCCAATTTCGAACCCTAATCTTTTTGTCATTAGCCCTAAGCAAATGACTTTTCTCATCACCCCACAGTCATTGTCTAACAGAGTAACTGAGACACATATGGGGCACTGACTGTAGGAGATGAAATGCACCTTGGGGCTGAAGGGCCTGCAAACCAGAAGGCTTGGCAGTGTTTGTGTGCTCCATCATGTGTGCAAAACTGGCTCAAAGCCAACCCACTTTCCATATTCTCTCTCTCACCTCTGTGATTCTAATTCGATATGCTTGACTGGTCCGCTAAGAATGCACAACGACTGCACAACGACCGCACGCTATACATCCGTCCTGCTGTCGCCCTCTATACTAACACTAACTGAAATCAGCCTCTGTCTCCATCTCTTGTCAAACCAGTGTATTCCCAAAAAATCAGGACATACTACCAAAAGCAGAGATGGCAAAAGTAAACACATCCTTTACAGATACTCGTGTTTAAAATACTCTGGTAAAAGTAGAAGTACTGACTAAACTTCTTTACTCAAGTAAAAGTAAAGAAGTATGGGCTTCAAAATGTACTTAAGTAAAAAGTAACCATAACTACCAACTGTTCTAAAGAGTAACTGACCTCCCTTTATATTAATAGAACAATAATGCCATTGATAGCTAATGAATGTTTCGATGCTGAACAACGGCAAAATGACAACGTTTTCATTGGTCCCTCTTCTTTAGAGAAGACCAGGAAATGAAGGATACACGGATCGTGTTAAAATCCATAGGCACGCAATGACTCTAAATAATAATGATCACGCCACCAAACACAGATTAAAACTAAAGTAACTAACCTGTTTTGAAAATGTAAGAAGTAAAAGTAAAAAATTGTCAGAAAAATAAGTAGTGGAGTACTGATACCAGAAAAATGTACTTAAGTACAGTGACTAAGTATTTGTATTCCACTACTTCCCACCTCTGACCAAAAGTGATAACTGAATTGTTGTGAAATAAAAATCTGAGATGCAGTTTTCCTTCTGTTATTAGGAGTTAAATATATATTAAAAGGAAGTCTAATCTCTTTCACTGTTCTCTCTCTGCAGTGAGGACTACAAGTCCCATTTCCCAAACAGAAGCTTACAAGCCTACAGCACACACCCCCTGCTGGTCCAGCCGTGTCAGTACGCTGGTGATCCTGATTGGGTGAGCGACACGGAGACGTCGACTCTGTGGGACGATGACGCTGTCCGCACAGATTGGAGGGGCTCCCACAAGACCCTGAAAGGGGCTTCGCCGCCTCCACTGTCTGCCGCCTACAAGGATGAACTTTAGAGAGAGCAGACGTATCGGCCGAGATCCTGCGGGTCAAAAGGCCACGAGGTCAGAGAGACAGATGCTGAGGGGATGAAGTGTTACAAGACTGTGTTTCAGTCCACTCTGTGTCACCACACTGACACGCTCATGTTTTTTTGACTGGACTTTTCAAAGCATGCGGCAAATGTGTGGAACATGGATGGAAACAGTATAATGGACAGTGTTAAGTGAGGCTGTTTTGTAAAGACGTGTAAAACCTTTGGTGTTTTAGTTCTCGTATGAACATCGACACTTTTAGTCAGGCATTTTTTCAACTTGCATTCTGTTGGGTGCTGACTGAGGCTCCTGAAGCTGCACTGCTCTAAACTCCAGGCATGTTTGGACAAAATATGATATTCTTTTTTATTTTTACCTTGTTGGTAGATCAATCTTTCTATCCATTCCTCCATTGGTGCATGTCTTTCATTGGAACTGTTAACAGTTATATTTAACACAAGGCTTGGCTGACCCTAATTAATATTTCCATTGGCTTTATTAGCAGTTTTGAAGCTGATGTACCTGATGGTTTCTAGGGACAGTGTAAGACTGAATGTTGGCATTTGGCAATCAAAGCATTTTTTATAAATCTTTCTTTATATAAAGTCACAGTGAGATTAACTGAAACAATCTCAAGTACTAAGACCAATTCTCCCCTTTGACTGTCTTTTAATATTTTTCTCATTTCACATTGAGTTACAGAAATTGGATATCAATTTTGAAGTTTGCACAATATTTTTCAAGCACTCCATTTTTTTGCCCAATATAGTTTATATTGTCAAACCCTTAAAGTGGTTCATACATTTTATTTGAATCAGCAGTAATCACAATTCCTCTAGCTGTTTGCAGGCTTTTCAAATTACAGCTACATGACCTATTTTATGTATTTTTTTTACTTATGGTGACATCTTTATACACCCTACTCTGAAATTAATAGTATTTTGGGAAGTCATTTTATGGAATAAATGCAGCATGTTGATATGTTACCTCCATATGTTGGCAGTCTAACTGTTATATCTTGTTAAAAAAAGACCAAAGAAGAAATCTTTGAAAGCCATATCACGACACAGCCTTAAATAACCTATTTGTAACATCCTTGGGATTCTTAAATCTAGAAGTGTTTTGACATTTGTCTGCACAGCAATGCAAGTAACTGATATGGTAATTTAAATGGATATATTTCAATTAGGATCATCAAGTTACACTAAACTTATATTATGGATTTCCATATTCATAAGCAAGTGCAATGGCCTAATTTCATGTATTCCTTTTCTATCTGTTATTATGAGTGTTGCTTTTCTTTTATATGTCTTAATTTATTTTTTGATGCAGAAAATGGATGAGTAACAAAACATGATGTCAAGCATGAAATCAAAGTGCAATGGCTTTTCTGACAAAGCCTCTCTGTTCGTCTTCTAGCAATACATTGGTATTTCAATGTTGTTTAACAGAATGTTTGATGTACTGTAAAGCAAACTTTTAACATTTTGAAAACATGAAAGTGTAGTTTTGATGTTTGATGTTCTTTTACTGTCTGACTGTGATGAATATTATGTTTTATAATTTAATAAAAACCAAACTTTCTGATAAAGAATTTTCCAAGTATATGGTTATTCAAAGATGATGTACTACTGACAGAAATCCACCACATATTTTTTATTTTTTGACTGGAAAACATCATCCAAATGAAAACAAAACAAAGGGGGGACTACTTCTGCTTAGCTTTTGTTTAATTTACAAACATGCACATAGGCACATACACTTAGTTATGCAATTATGTCAGAGGGTTTTAAGAAGTCAACAAAGTTCAAAGGTTGGTGTAGTAGACAGATTTTTTCAGTTTCAGACGTACCGCCACACACAGATAAAGCACAGAGATTGACTGCAGCTCTGAGATTAAGCAGCTCTCCTGCTCAAAGCTGTATTAACTGGAGAGAACCTCCTCTCACAGGAGGGGACCCAAACTCAGTGCCTCATTGGCTGTTGGCCTGGAGGTGGGGATTCACGAGGTCAACTTGCACATGGTTCAGGGCAAAAGCTGCTGAGGTTTCATAATGGTGAGGTACTTAAGCAGGAATATGTCTGGCTTTAAAATTGCGTAATATCTCACCATTTAGTTCCTTACTGCAAGATACGACTAGGTATCCAATGCCTCACATCTAACTACATACATGATGTCTTATGCATATCCGATGTTCCACTTCTGCTCATTTGGTCTCTGGACCGTAAGGACTCTCAACAACATCTGCTATCCTGTCTCCCCCCCACCCCCCACACGTATACACACCTACAGTTTACATAATTCAATCTAAATAGAACAAAAAACGAATTCACTGCTTCAGTGTAAACATCTCGTGTAAATACTATTACCTGGATGTAATTCCGGATCTATGAGTACATGTATAGCCCTCTCTAACAGGCCCTATTGGTTTACTCCATCCTGAGGCAGATCAGGTTATAACATAGCATGCATGCCTTATAGAATTGCGGCACAAACGTCTGCTCCCTTTTTAGCACAGCAAAAGCGGGAGGGGCCAGCGGGGCATGCAGTTAGAGAGCATGTCTGCTTAGAATGAATGTTACATACTAATATTACTATTATTACTATAATGTATATGCTTTGCCTTATAATTGGTTTTGCTATTGGTAAACCCCTGAGGCTAATGATGTGATGTGCTCCCAGCTGGGACACAATCCGTGCATATAGCAGCCAAGACCCAGCTGCTGACAGGCCAGGCCACTGAAAACTGCTCGCCTGAGAGCCAAGTAAAGTGTGTAAATCACTATCAAATGGTTGCCACACACACTTTGCACCAAGCATGAGTGAGACATACATCCAAGCATCATATCCCTGTAGAGGTTGGTTCAAGAGGCCATTGGCTACGGCTCTGTACCATTAAAGGTCACCTATTATGCAAAATCCACTTTTTCCTGTCTTTTATTCATAAACATGTGTCCCCTCTGTCTAAAGAGATTCTGACATTTTCAGGAAAAACGATTCGCTCACTTTTTGTCTATTTATATAAAAACCTGTCTGAAAATGAGCTGATCAGATTTTGGCCACTTTATGATGTCATAACGATTTTTTGGGTTGTTTAACCATTAGCCAATAACCAACCAAGGTAACACCCGCCCACCTTATCACCTGTATCTCCTCCAAAAGCAGGGGTTCCCAAAGTGGGGGTCGCAAGATGATTACAAATTAAAAATGTTATTTAATTTAAAGACTTAATTTATTATTATTATTTGCATTATTATTATTATTTATAATAACGTGTGCATAGATATTTTTCAGGGGCGGACTGGCCATCTGTAGAATGTCCCCAACGAGGCTCTCCCCCCTTTGACAATTCACTAGCACCCCCCACCCCCATTTGCCCTCCATCAGTTCTGGTATCTTTTTCGAGTTAGCCCTAAACTATATTATTTTATTTCATAATGGTAATGCTAATGAACCCTCCGGTTTGGCTTCTTTGTGTAAATAACTTGTAGTTCTGATGTTTAAACCGAACTTATCAGGAATAGTAGCTAGGGGAGTGATTTGTAAAATATGCATAAAGAAAAGGTAAATCTGTTTACAGTTCTGTTTCATATGGATGTTGAGAGATGTATCCATAGATTTAGTCCCTAATGTTGCTCTCAAAGTGCACCAGATTGATGCATTTAACTTCAACATTAAAAAAGAAAAATCATGCCCCCGGACCCCCCTAGAGGAGGTTAGGTCCACCACCTGCCCACACCCCCCGTCAAATTGTCCCACCCACATTGAGGATGCTTCCTACGCCCGTGCCATGAGTTATCCCATGTGTTAGAGAATTTTTATATATTTTCCTTTAGAATGGCAGGAAATTAGTATTCAAATTTGTATTTAATTTTTGGTCCTCCCCAATGTTGACTCCATGGTTATGGCCTTGCACTCCAGAGACATGTTTTGTATCTGAGGCCTATAATAAAGTAATGACAAACAGTATAATAGGGGACCGGCTGCTTTATTAGCAGACTAAAATGTGCTTGAGTCGTGTTGGGTTTAAAAAAACGATTTGATGTTTTTGCCCAATATCAGCAATATTGTCCCTATTTGACTCCCGAACTGTGTAGGTTGTGAACAAATTGCACGCTCCCTTTAGCACACTTTGGGCTTTCCATAGTATACGGGGAGGGGTCAACACAGGAAGTACAACTGCACTCCCACTGCTGCTCACGTTTTCTGACAGCTACTGAACTGCAGCTCCTCTGTCACACTTTGAAACGCTGTCTATCTGCACAAGTATTCGGACATTTCCCAAGACTGCAAATCCCGTCGTTCCGCAAACTGTTTGTATCGTATTTACCGGGGACGGTCGGTAAAAGGCGGAACCGAGTGTAAGTGGAAACAACTGCCTTTATATTAGGTGGAAACCGAAGTGTTCTCGTGCAACAAAGTTACTTTATGACTGAACGTGCATGTTTTGTAAGGATGTTTTGAATGCCATGCGTGTGGCGTGAGAGATCACATCGCGCGTTAGTGCCACGTTAGCTTGCAGCTGTTCAGGCTGTTGTTATTTTTTTTTTAGGACGTAGCGTTTACATGTAGTGCATATAGTCTATTCAATGGGTTTTCTGTTATGCACTTGTGTGTGCTAACGTGCTAGAGTTTATCCTCAAGTTGTGCACAGGCTATATAACTTTACAGTGCGTAAAAAGCGCAGGACGTAGTGGTTGCCAATGTAACAACGCTGTTTATCTCAAGCAGCCACTCTGAAGTGTGTTGGGATTTGTTTTTCTTTTGCTATTAGACTTTGCACAAGTAAGACAGGCCAAATAAGGAATGAGCATTTGCGCATAGACGGATAAAGTCCACAGTTCACTTAGCTAAAACCTGTTTCTCTTCATATTGAAGACAGGTTTAATCCAGCTAGTTCTCGGCAATTCACAAACCAGCTAAGCAGTGTGGAGGAGAGGGCATTTAACTTAGCAGTATTTCTACAACACTGTATTTGATTAACCGTGTTGTTTAATTCAAAGCTTAATATAATTATATTTGATAAAGTGGCTCTGTGAACCTTAAAGTCCAAAAAGAATATTATAGAGTCTTTGCTGCCTGGAATAACATTATCTCAAACCACCTGTTTAACTATTGTGCATTATATCAAACCACCTGTTTTACAAGTAAATGGTTTTACTGTTACACACTAAGCACACACTATTTGCATATGTATATTTAATAACTATAAATAAGCTACATATTCTGCAACCATAACATGCTGATTTAGGATATGCATTTGTGTAATGTCATCACTTATTTGTATATATAACATAATAAGTCCAGGCAGGGAAATTATCTATGATTTCATACACAAAAACATACACAATGTAAAATCACAGAAAACAGAACAAATATCTCTCAATTCTTACAACAAGTATTGCAATCAAATCCCTGCTGAATATTCTACGCTCCCTTATGTAATTGTACTGTTGTTATAGGTCATATAATATACAGATGATACAATATTTGACTTTGACCTTAACAACACTGCAGCCTCACACCTTGTTACTCTCCCTTTTAGGTCCCTTGACTGACCACAGGGGCCATGGCCTTCCTTGGGAGCGCAGTTCGGAGGGTGGTCTCTGCAGTGCGGCCCCCTCTCTCTCCATTGAGCCGGACAACAGCTCGATCTTACAGCTCAGAGCCCACCTCGGAAAAAAGTGTTCCCTATGAGAAGACACTCAAACAAGAGGTTGGCAAATCCTCTGGACCAACAAAGCCTTTACCCAAGTAAGCTCAGGGGATAAATAGATAGATTCTGTTAATTAATCATTTCTATTGTTCTTCAAGTATACTTCTTATTAAATTCTTACTTCATGGTGGGATGATTAGGCATCAGGAATACGCACATATGAGGGTTTGTGCAATTGATCAATACATAGGACCAGTTGATATAAGAATAATAGTCATGGTGGCCTCCGCAAGGCCTGAACAGATCTCAGGTCTGAAAATGTAGATCGTTTATACAACTTTTAAACTTTTAAAATTCAGGCAAGAAAACTACAATTTTAAAGCATAAATCTATATTTTTGGAAATGGTTTTATTTGCTTATTGTGGCAAGACATGACTAGAAGATCGATAACACTGTTGAGTATGAAACTACAGCCATTAGCCAGCTAAGTGTTAAGACTAGAAGAGGAGTAAACAGGCTAGTGTGGCAAAGTTCCACATAAAACAAGCCGCTGTTTTTACACGTTTTTTCCTGGTTATTTTAAAGGTGCATCTAGGAAGACTTTGTTACCTCCAGGCTAATTATTTCCTCCCGTTTCAGGTCTTTATGTTTACAGTAGCTGAACTAATCAGATTCTTGCTAACTCTTAACATAACAGACAATGTGTTACCCCCAGAAACTTTTCCTCAGCTTAAATGACCTTAAGGTTTGTCACTCGGTTTGATTCAGTGAGTGGTGTGGCTGGCATTGTCCTTGTCCCACTTTTAAAGTCGTGTTTTCAGCTCACCTGTAGTTTCCTGCCACCTGCTACAGGTCAGCAGAAGCAGTGGTGATCGGAGGAGGCAGTCTGGGCTGTCAGACCATCTACCACCTGGCTAAGATGGGGATGACCAACGTAGTTCTGCTGGAGAGAGACAGACTGACTTCTGGCACCACCTGGCACACTGCAGGTAACACACTAAGTTCACTGTTACTGTTTAAACTAGTCACTCTTACTCTATACTTGACTCAGAGTATCTTCACTCTCCTTATGTCAAGTGCTTAAAGTTGTATGTTCAACTGCAAACTGTACACACATCTTTCTCTCTCTGCTTACTAGGCCTGCTGTGGCAGCTCCGTCCCAGTGATGTTGAGGTGGAGCTCTTAGCCCACACCAGAAATGTGATCAGCAAAGACCTGGAGGAGGAGACGGGCCTCCACACGGGCTGGATCGAGAACGGAGGACTCTTCATTGCCTCCAACAAACAAAGGCTGGACGAGTACAAGCGCCTCATGTCGGTATGTAGTGAGATTGCTAATTTGAAAATGCTAAGCTTTGAGGTAAAATATTTAGGGCTGAATTAGCAGAGGTGGAAAAAGTACCCAGATCTTGTACTAAGAGTAAAAGTAGGAGTACCAGAGTTTAAGAATACTCTGTTACAAGTTAAAGTCCTGCAATCAAAATGATACTCAAGTAAAAGTACAAAAGTATGTGCATCCAAATATGCTTAAAGTACCAAAAGTAAAAGTACTCATTATGCAGATTGGCCAATTTCAGAATAATGCATATTATATGTTTTGGTTATAATTCTTGATGCATTAAAGTGTTATCAAAGCTGGTAGAGGTACAGCTAGTTTTAATGACTTTGTATACGGCATTATACTCCAGGTGTAACTAAAGTCTTATTAAAGTGTTGATTATATTTCACGTTATAAATCCAAATCTGTAAAGTAACTAAAGGTATTTGATAAATGTAGTGGAGTACTGTAAAAGTACACCATTTACCTCTGAATTGTAGTGGGGTCGAAGTACAAAGTAGCATAGTATTGAAATACTCAAGTAAGTAGTTCAACATTTTACTTAAGTATCGTACTTGAGTAAATATACTTAGTTACTTCCCAGTCCACCTCTGAGAATTAGTATAACTTGTGTAACTGGTTTTCATTTGAAACAGCATTTGAAGTACTGCATTATAACTTACCCTCCATGAAGTGTTGCATTCAGAACGAAAATCATAATATCATATGAATAAAGAAAATGCAGTTTGCTCACTTAACTTTTTTTCATGTTGGCAATCAATTAGTCTGAATATTGCTTTGCACAAAGAAGCCATGGTAAGAGATAATATCATTAATGGTCTGCTGAATTTACAACACACTCATGCATAAGAGCAGGGATAAGGCTGTGTTTACCCTGATTGTGTGTGTTTGAGGTTCAAAGTTCACTGGAAACTTCACCTAACCATTGCATGGTGTGAAACAAGGAAAAAGCAGCACACATGTTTTAGATCAACAATCTAATTAATATCATGCTACTAGTTACTGTAACTTAACGCCTCCATATGCCTCCGGAAATGTTATGCAATATGTTCTCATATTATGTAACATAAACTTGATTTTAAACTGATCAAAAATCCATGAACCATGCCTTGTCCCCTTGTTTCTAGCTGGGTAAAGTTTATGGTATCGAGTCCCATGTTCTGTCACCGGCGGAGACCAAGGACCTGTACCCTCTGATGAACGTTGATGATCTGTATGGAACCCTGTATGTACCTAAAGATGGCACCATGGACCCAGCAGGCACCTGCACCACCCTGTCCAGAGCGGCCACCGCTAGGGGGGCCACGGTAATGGGCCCTGTTTATAATGCTGTGTACACAAGTTCTTTTAATTGATAAGTATCTGTATACTAAAGTAGTGATGGGAATTACGGCTCTTTGAAGGGAGCCGAATCTTATGGCTCCGTTCCTTTCCGAGAGCCGTTCAAAAGAGCCCTTTTTTTTTTTTAAGGGGGTTAATAGGTTTATCTGCAAAAGAATCACCAAGATAATGATTGACTGTATTGCCAGAAATCTACTTTTACTCACAGAAAATGTATAACTTGTTACATGTCTCAGCCAGCCAAACTACTACTCAAGCAGCACGCGTTATGCCATCATATATGGCAAATTTGGATTCAGGAAAGCAATTTCCTTTAAAAGCGAGTGGATTTATGGCAGGCAGACTTCGTTCGTACCAAAGTGCCATTCAAAAAAATCAGATCGTTCGCGAACGTCACATCACTATACTAAAGGGAATGTTACTATTTGTAATTGCAGTCTAGTCAAACAAATTAAATATTCTTTGTAAATTGTAGCGGGATTTGAGTTTCAGTTAAGTTTTGCATACTTTTACGTGTGTTTTACATCATGGTAATTGTTCACATTAGGTAAATCCCACTAATCTCTCTGCAAATAGCTTGATGAGAAATGCTAGAAATAATAATAATTTAATGAGGTGAAACTTTTCTGTTTGGGAAATTTTGGTAGATCTTTGTCAAAGTTGGTAAAGAATTCTACTTTAGTTCAGCCCGTCTACCTGCCACTCCCGTTTAGCAATCTTTTTTCTTTATAGCACCCTTATCTGAACACGAGAGAGCAGTGTAGAAAGCCATGTCACAACCTTTTGTACAGCTAAACATGTATTGCTCTTTGAACATATTACGTCTTGAATAGCAATGTGTAAATGTAACGAAACACTGTTTTAAACAAAAGATAGAGTACAAAATGTAGGTTTAGGCTTTATGTTTACATGTACATTAGTTAGAGGCAAGCCCTTTAGTGATTAGATTCTAACTTTAAGCTTAAAGGGAGCTACTTGTGGGTACTTCACAACGATAACACAAACTGCACAGCTTTCAAGGAAACCTCAGGTCACATGTACTTTCAGATAACTACTACATGTGTGTATAGCATTTTACAACATTTTACAACCTACAGTACTGTAGTAGTTCTAACCTGTAAGAAACGGTGATAATATGAAGCGGACTATGGCAAAATGGAGAAGAGTGATTGATTCAGTAATTTGAACCGCTGCCGCTGTAACTGCAACATTGGATAACATAGAATAGAATTGGGAGGGATGAAACCCTCTTTAATGGTCACACATGCAGAGCACACAGCAAACACAGTGACATTTGTTCTCTGCATTTAACCCATCCTAGTACCAGGAGTCTAGTACTAGGAGCAGTGGGCAGCTATTGTACAGCGCCATACGTGAATATACGTAGATATTAAAGGGCTCTTATATTAATGTTTCGTACAGAAAGTCTCTACACTACAAACAGGGCTTGGTGCAAATCGGATTAACTCATTATTTTTATTGTTTTTCTTTACATCAGGTGATTGAGAACTGCCCTGTGAGTGGTATCCAAGTGCGGACTGATGACCTCGGTGTTAAGAGGGTGAAGGCAGTGGAGACCCCTTATGGGACCATTGAGACATCTTGTGTGGTAAACTGTGCAGGTGCCTAACTATTCATCCAAACTAAAGATTAAAAGCTTTTTGGTTTTATTTGACATGTAAATTAAACATTTGTTAATCTACATTTAAAGGGGGCTTTTTCTATTAAATGTTTTCTCTCTTTGTGTTCTATGCAGGTGTGTGGGCCCCCAAGCTGGGAGAGATGGCTGGAGTAAAGGTTCCTCTTGTTGCGATGCATCATGCCTATGTGGTGACAGAGAGAATTGAAGGCATACAGGTAGGTTCATGATGTACTGTATTATAGTAAGAATAAAACAACACAATTAGCACAATGTTCTTTGACACAGAACTTGTTCCACATAAAGTGGGACCAAAAAGTTCAGCAAGTCTGTATTTATGCTTCTTGTGTTTGTTTACTTTTATTTAACTTGTAGAATCTGCAAAGTGGGTTTTATTAACCAAATGAATTTATACTATGATAATTTGTGTACTTTCATTTTATGGGAGACACTTGTATTAGTATGTTAACCTAGGTGCCTTTTCCTTTTTCCAAAATAAGGCTACTTGGATCTTTCTGATTATTTAATTCCTTGTAGTAGCAGGAATACCTTCTTCTGTCTGTATCATGTCAGTATGACCAGCAGGGGGCACTGTGACCTAATAGGTTTACACCTGTAATGGTACAGGATGCTTTTTGTGAGTGCTGGAATGAGATGTGTGTGTTTCTATGAGAGGGAAAAGGATAGTGTCTTGTTTGTGTACTTTAATGCTGAAAACGTTTGCCTTTGGGAGGCAGATATACATGATCCACTGTACCTCTGATTGTTGATCGAGCGCATGTTAGTTTTAGTTAGTGTACACACACACACACACACACACGCACGCACACACGCACACACACATACACATACACACACACACACACAACTGTGCTCATCCTCTAGAGGCCAGTGGTTTTAGGGGGGCTGTCAGAGCTTCTCTGTGTTATGTAGTTTAAGAGCAGCTTAACCAGCATTACTGCTACATCATGTACACACAGACATCAGCCCACACACACAGAATGACACACTCACACACCATGCCCTGCCGTCAGAGAATCTGTTCTCATCGGGGTGTCCAACTTGTCAGATCAAGCATCTCTGCCGACCACATATCTGTGTGTGACTAGATGAGTTACTGTAGAGGGTTTACATGTATGTTTTTATCTGTGTGAGTGCATGAAGGACAGTGTATGGATCACAACAAGCTGCCTGACTGCAAGCAGCGCTAAAGAGAGGAAAGCAGCAGTTTGGATATTATTACATGTAGAGGGCTCTTTTTAAATGTCAGCTTGGTATTTTGTTTTTGTACCGAGAGAGCCAATTGGCTTTAGATTGACAAGCACTCGTGACAAGATACAAAACCAAAGGGTACAACATTCTTAAAGGGTACCAATTCATTATACACTTCTACAAGAATATGTATTCAGTCTGGAGGAGGGTGAATGCTTCCCTCTTTTTAAAGAGGATTTCATGGTGTGTCAGTATCTGCCATACCATACATAAAGAAACTCTATGGTTTGTTAAGGCATGTCATTGTATATGGCACTGAGGCTGTTAAGAATGTTTACGGTTGTTATGTTGCATATTTTATACCCTTTCTGTATGTCTCCGTAAAGTACCAAAAATACTAGAAATCCTCAGAGAATTTGGTAAACAGCATGGTAATTATCTTTTTCGTTTCAGCAGATTTTTTGTTTCGGTTTCCTTGTGATAAGCAGTTATGTTGAAATTAGTAGTCCAGTCCAAGAAAGTCATCCAAGAATTTTGGCTTCAATTTTACTATAATTGTAATCCATTACCTGGAAGGATATGCTGTTTTTGTTTTACAGTGTTTTACAGTTTTAGCTGCTATAAAACAAAATATTGAATTTCTTAGATACTGAAATAATCCACCTCTTGTTCATGCATATGAATCTTCCCATCATATTGTCATTACATCAGAATATGAAATGACTAATCCATGTTTAAATGTTTCCTAACTTATCTTGCTCTAGTTGCAGGAACATGCCGAATGTCAGGGGACCATGATGCATCAGTGTACCTGCGCTCCAAGGT